TCGCTCGTTGGCCTTGTGCTCCGCTTCCACCTCGGCGTGCCTCTTCTTGACCAGCAACCCGAACTCCTCGTCGATGGACGCTTTTTTCGTCTGAAGAGCTGCACCATGAGCGCCCGTGCGGGGGAGCGAGGTGGTAAGGGGAGAGACGCATAGAAAAGTGGGGGGGGGGGACGCAGAGATAAACACATGGGGAGGGGGGAGGGGGGGCCCAAGAAATACAGGAAGAAAAGACGCAACGAAAACAGCGGCATCTACAACAGCAGCATTCCGTCTTTTTCATGAGGAACTAGTTCATCAACACTGGCTTTCGACAGGGGGGGGGGGGCGAGGAAGGAGGACACGGGAGAGAACAGGAAAGAGGCAACAAAAAGACATGCTTCAACTTTAAATTTCAGCCGTTTCCCGCAAGGAGCCAGCTAGCTCATCAACACTGGGTTTCGACGCAATGGGCTGGGATGCATGGCTTACTATACGCTTGAATCTGGCGCGGAATATCATAACGGCAACGCCGGAACTTCATCTCTAGAACAACGTTTGTACCCAAAACCGCCTCCGACGAGCTGTGGTCGGCACGTCTATAATAGGTATGTGCGCTGAGGGTGTTGAGGGGGCTGGCTCCCGAAATACCTCCAAAAACCACATCCCCACTACAAGCCCCTCGCCACCAAAAGGTAACGCCAGTCTCTACCGGCGTGGCTGAGCAGACACAAACAGTGCGCACCCTTCGCTGAACAAACTCGCTCTCCAGGCACAAAAGCCGTATGGCTCTCTCTGTCTCTCCCCCGCACTATCAGGAACAAGTTTTTCCTTACCTTCTTCGGCCTCTTTCTTCTTCCTCGCCGCTTCCTCATCAATGGACTTTACCGCCGCCCTCTTTTCCTTCTCTAGCTCCTCAAATCTGCAGGCCGCCGCCACGAAAACAAAAAACGAGCGGGGGAGGCGGGGTCAAGCAAACCGCTAAAATCGCCACACGGCAGAAGATCAATTCTTGCTCGGTGTTTGTTCAGTCCAGCACCGCGATTCCCTGCCCGAACAAGCGCCCTTTTCCGACAGACTGCGACGCTCCCAACATGCTCCCCTCGTCAAACCTGGCCTTTTTCTCCTTGGCGAACGCCGTCGCCACTTTCTTCTTTTTGCTGGCTAGTTGCCGCTGGGGGCTCATCGTGTCTTCCGTTGCCGCCGCCCCTTCCTTCGACGCGTCGGCATCGCCGTCACCGCTCTCCACCTTCCCGTCGTCGGGGGGGGCTCCTCCTCCTCCTTCTTCCTTGGCCATTTTTTTCTCGGCTCTCTCGGCGGCCGCCGTGGCGGCTTCCTCGAGGTCGTCCAGCTCGTCCGAGTGCTCCTCTTGCTTCGTCCACCAGACGTGCATGTTGACTGCTCGAACACAACAACAACAACGACAACAATCATATCAGGGAGAGTTCCGGACACGAGGGGGAGGATTGGCGGCCGATTGATCCTACCAGGCACAAAGACGGCACCCCCAGGTGGAAGGCTAACGAAACAGGGGCCCCGCCGTGCTGGTAGTCCTACCTGCGCAACAATACTTCGGCCGGCCAAGAGGGCATTCAGCACGTCTCCCCCCTCTCTTGCCATTGTTGGAAACGAGGCGCACTCCCCATCAGCTCTCGCGAGGAAAGCGAGCGTCTATTAAAGGTGACACCAAGCTTCACGTCCGATCCACGACAACCTGTGCTCCCTCTCTCGAACGCACCCCCCCCCCCGATTGCAGAGCACAACAACCTGTGCTCCGTCCCCGGCACGCACACCCCCGATCGCAGAGACGATTTGCGCAGCTTACCCGGCTTTTTCTGGCCGTCGGCCAAAAGCTTGGGCCACTTGACACCGCCCTTGGCCTTCTTGAGGGTGAACGTCACGCGCCCGACAGACCCAAAGGAAATCGTGCTGGGCTGTAAGGAGGGGGTCCCCGGAAGGGAAGGTGTGTGGGTGTGTGTGTGTGTGTGTGTGTGTGTGCGTGCCAAGTACGTGTACAGTAGGGGGGAGGGGGGGGGGGGGGGGGAAAAAAAAAATTTAGGGGGGGAAGGGTGCCCTTTTCAAGCCTTTATGGGGGGGACCCCCCCCCCCCCCTTACTTTGGGGGGAAAAAAAAAACCCAACTGTTTCCAACCCCGAAAAAATTAAAAACAAATTTAAAACCCTACCCCCCCCTGGCCCAAAGAAAAAGGGGCCCCCCCCAAAAAATGTTGGGGGGAACCAAAAAAACCCCCAAAACAACTTCCCCCCGGGGGGGGGAGGGG